AGGAAAAAGCAAAGATGGACATTTTGAGAAAGGGCGCAGCTGGTTTACTTCATGTAATGATTAAACATAAGGATGAATCCAATCTGTGATGATCCGCTCTATGGGTTCTCACCTAACGGTTTACGGAATAAAGAAACACTATTCCCTTCAGGGTGGTGTCACTTTATCAATGCACAATAAATTATACTTATTTGGTTCCATTTGCCTTTATGCTCTGAGCTAATTTTTATTTTCTCACACACTGATGGATTGTAACCAAACCTCAACAGCTTTTAATGTTTATCTGTTCAAGGGGCAGACTAATGGGTTCTGAAGGCATCCCTAGGGCCAACTCTAGAGTGCTGGAGTTCAACCAGAGTCCGTAAAGAATCCCTATAAGATATTTACATAACAACAAATAAAAGAACATCAACATAAAAATGGGAGGCTTCAGAAAGTCATTCTTTGTAATCATGAGCTGGATTTAAAAAAAGTAAAGTCATATTTGCAGTAGAAAGACAATACATATAATCAGTGTTTCGATCTTCAACAAACATAGTTCTTAATATCTTCCTTCCCCATTCAAATGAATTAACTCAAGAAATCCGGAGGAAAAACAAGCCCAGTTCCTAAATGAGACACAGCCTACTAGTAAATGTCAGGAAACAACAAGCAAACTCTTGATTAGTGTTTAAACTCACCTTCCATGCACTCATTCACAGATTCATAGTCAGCGTAAGTTCTGCCCTCTGGCCTCTTGGTAGGCTGGACCAGCAAAATGGTGTGAGACTACAGGGGAAAAGTGATTTCAACGTAAGTTTCTAACTCATACTTGAGAAACTCATGGTATGATATAAAACCCTCAGCCATGACACAAATGATCGATGGTTATTAAAACACTATTAATAAAATTTAAAAAACACTATTAATTAGGGTGCTCTTCCTACATTTCTGCCTTTACACAAGTGTGGCGCCAGAAGACGGACTGACAGCTTCTCTGTAAGGTCTCTTCGGTCTCCCAGTCCTTAGTGGCAGCTTCTTTGAACTGTTGTACTTACTGCCTGTTAAGCATTCAGCATAAGCTACCCTGTACTGTTTTCTCTTTTCTATCTTTCCTCCCAGCCAGGTCACAAACCCACTTAGGTTTTCAATCTCCACTGGTCACTTTCTATCTGTAGCCCTAGTAAGTCACTTAATAAAAAGTCAGATGTGGGCTGATAAAAGGAGAGGAGAGAAAAAAGAAAACATTGTTAGTGTTTGCAAGCACTGTACCAATCTACCTTCTTTTTCCAACCTTAGCACAACAGTGGAGTCACATCTTACCCAGGGCTTGGACTCCGCGGTGAAGGCAGAAGATAAACTAGCAGCATAAAATTAATATATACAGGTAATGTTACCCTAGAAAAACCATTGAACTGTTCATCCAGTAGGTGACTCACCTTAAGAGGCCATGCTACCTCAAAATCGTATATATTTAAACACAAAATAGATGATCGCACTGTGACAAATGTGAATATGCCTGAAGAACAGCAAATAGACTTAACATCTTCTACCTCATGCTCATTGGGGGGCATGTTTTTGTTAGTGGGCCTATTTCAGTCTCCCATTATGAGAGGTATATGATCAGGTAATGATCTCGCGGTTTGGGAGTTTGAGCCCCATCTACAGCTCGGACCCTGGAACCTGCTGTGGATTCTGTGTCTCCTCTTTCTGCGCCCCCGCCCCGCCCCCCGCATTCTGTCTCTTCTCTCTCAAAAATAAATAAACATTAAAAAAAAAAAAAAAAAAGACTGAAATAGTCAAGGCCTAGAGTTTCTGAATAGGCACCAAAAAAAAAAAAAGTACTCTGAATAGTACTTTACATAGCAAAGGAGGGGAGTGCCTGGGCGGCTCAGTCAGGCTCCTGATTTTGGCTCAGGTCAAAATCTCACAGTTGGTGAGATCAACCACCAAGTCGAGTGTGGCTCACAGCTGACAGTGCAGAGCCTGCTGGGGATTCTCTCTGCCCCTCCCCCTGCACTTGCAGACACACAACCTCTCTCAGAATAAGTAAACGTTTGAAAAAAAAAAAAAGAAAAGGTCACCTAAAATGACCTTAACAGTCAAGGCCTTCGTTAAATAGGGATTAAAAACCAGAGAAAGCATTTTATTAGATTATTTGTTACACAGAGGTTTTTGTAAGCCACCTACTCAAAAAACGTGGTTTCAATGGGTCATAAGTTGAGAAGAAAATAATTTTATAGAAACCACATGAGCATTCAGGCAATAGCACTTGCTCTGTGCGTTAGCCATACTAGTGGCTACTACATTAATTTTCTTATTCTAATGCAAATCAAGTGACTAATTTACTTAAGAGAATAAAAATATGGACATGGCCATTCAATATGTTCCTTTTTACATCTAGTCTTAAAATGAACCTCTGACAAAGCTCATTATTTTCAATACTTACTACCCAAAGATGAGAATTAAAAACTACTAAGAACAAAAAACTACATTTACAAAGCTGTAGTCAAAATGGGTATTATTAACTGGGGCGCCTGGGTGGCTTGGTCGGTTGAGCGTACAACTCCTGATTTTGGTTCTGGTCATGACCCCAGGGTTGTGGGATCGAGCCCCGTGTCTGGCTCTGCGCTGAGCATGGGGGCCTGCATAAGAGTCTCTCTCCCTCTGCCCCTCTTCCTCTGCTCATGCCCTCTTTAAAAAAAAAAAAAAAGGCAAAATGGGCATTATTTTTAATTGTTAACAGTTCAAGATCATAAAACTTCCCAAATCAATTTTGGTCACTTTCTTTTTACTGGAGCTATTTTTGAAGCCCTTTCATTTCATTAAAAAACAAAGATAAATCTATATGTATATTATAATCACATAAAAACAAAATTATATATATACACACATATATATAACTTCCCACAATAGAAAAATAAGATTATAAAACCTAAATCAGGAAAAGTTATGCAGAATTACCTTAATAAAATCCTTACTCGAATTATCAAGCACGAGTGAATCACTTAATCTGGCCTTATTAATTTTTTATATGTTTATTCATTTTTGAAAGAGAATGTGTGCAGGGGAGGGGCAGAGTGAAAGGGGGACAAAGGACCCAAAGCAGGCGCTGTGCTGACGGTAGTGAGCCCCATGTGGGTCTCCAACTAATGAACTGTGAGATCATGACCTGAGCCAAAGTTGGATGCTTAACTGACTGAGCCACCCAGGCGCCCCCTGGCCTTATTAACTTTCTGAAAGTCTCACACACATTAACTCTTAAGAGTCATTCTCCTGCTACAGAAATATTACAATACATACAATTTGCTCATCAGCTTCAAATCCTTCTCCCAAACTACCCCCCCAATCCAAACCTGAAGCTTGTATCTTTCGTAAAGCAGAAATATTTAAGATTACTGAACCAATAACTGTTTGCTTTATATACAAATTCTAATTTTTAATGCTACTTGGACTGATAAAGAATTATCACTGATATTTGCCCAACAAAGAATCGGTTGCTGATATTGACCACTGTTACTTTCTCAGACTTTAATCTAAGTATTTGAACACGATACGAAATAGTGACTTAAAAGGCACAGAAAGAAGAAAACTCAGAGTAGAAGATCTATCCAAGGTGACATTGCTAATATGACAAAACAAGAGCTGGAAACCCAGTCTTCTAATTCCTAGTTCTCTCTGGGAGACTATGTGGAGTCAAACACTAAAACACCTCAATGCAGAAAAGTACAACCTTAAAAGGCTGTTAAGAACACCTGCATAGCATCTTAACAGCAATTGCAGCGATCAGAAAACGAAAGCTGAAGTGTGAAAGTAACCAGGATGCCTCATAATCCCTATGAGCAACTCCTTTTTGGTGGAATAAAATAAAAAACACAACAAAATACCCACTTACTCCACCACCGCCCCGATTAGATTGTTTATAAGGCACCTGGACCCTCAGCTGAGCCTACTTTTCAGTCTTCAGTCCCAAGAAATTATAAATAAAAACAGGATTGAGGGCTTGGGACAAACGCCAAGTCGGGCATCTGGAGTCTTGGAAAAGAGAAAAGCACGTTATATGTGTGCTTAAAGACGGAGCACGAAAAAACAAAAGGGAATAGTTGAGAAGCACACTACAAAGCAAAGACGACGCCTCCCGGCCCACATGCTGGGGGCAGTACACCGCATCTGTCAGCTTTGGGATCAGGTTTGTCATACATCCCTCGGCCATTGTTCCCATACTGGGGCCAGAGAGTCCGGTGGGAAAGCGCAGCATCCCCACGCCTGCCTCTACCAGGCAGCACCTGGGAGAAAGTGCATTCTCAGCACCGCACGCCTGGCAGGCGCCTACAGGCGGGCGCGTAGACGCAGCGCGGCCCCGGGCTCCCGGGCCTAGCGCCAGGCCCTGCCTCTCCGCGGCGGGAAGGCGAAAGGTCGAGCCACAGGCAGGAAGGCCGTGGAGCTGCACGCTCGCCCTGGATGGGGCGGGGAGAAGATGTACGGGGCTGGGATCGCCCCAGAAGCCGGGGGATCAGGGAGCCGCTGAGGCCTTTCTCACCATCGCGCCAAACTCTCTCGCTGCAGCCGCTACCGACACCGCCGCCGCACACGAGCTTAGCCGCAACGCAGCCAACAGCCAATCCCCGCGAGAGAAGCCGCCGGAAGTCGTCAGGGACGCACCGCGAAAGAGCATTTTGGACCATAGAGACGCACACATTTCCGGCAGCTAGAACGGATACTGACTCTGTCTCCGCCATCTTGGAGAAGGGCGATGAGGCGCACCAAGAATCGCTGCAGAACTTGAAAGAGAAACATTTCTTTTCAAGATGCTGTCCTCCGACCTCTTGGTATTGGGCCGGCGCCTAGAATGATCACCGATATGGACTGTGACACGAGATGTCTTTCATCAGCCCTACTAAAAAATGGCGGTAACATAAAACTCCCGGGCCATAGGTCGGTTGTAACCCGGAAGTACTCTTCTAAAGGAGGGGGCGGTGAAGCAATCCGGAAGTGGATGTAATGAAGAGGTGCCACTTGGCGGCCATGGAAGCTGTAGTATTGATGGCTCTGGGTAAAGGCCCAGCGGAGTGGAGTAATATGGGTAGTATCGGGTATAGGGCAGGGACAGCTTTGTATCAGCTTCGCTGCTGAACCCCTAAGCCCATCGTTAGTGACCTTCAGGACTCTTTCCCCATTCTAGACTCGGAAGAGAGTTTGCCGGGACTGGTGGGCTGGGTCCCAGCCTGGCGAGAACTGCCCCCAGGAGGTGGGGGAGCCGGGAGAACGAACAAGTTTGCTTGGGTTTTCCTCCTTTTCCTGCTGCCGCCTGGGACGCTGTGGAGGGAGTGGGTCCGTTGTGCTACCATTCCGACGATTGAAGAAATCGCCCTTTGCATACCTTGAATTGTTAACCCTGGGGAATCCAGTGACTGGCATCCGAAAACACAGGGGTCGGGACCTGAGATTGCTGAAAGTTCTCTCTGGTGCTAATATCAGCAAAAAAGGGACGTTTTCAGGTGCGTTCCAGAGAAAGGGGTTTCCTGAACACATCTGCTGGTGGGGAGGACGAAGGAACTGGCAAGTCCACTTGTCTTGGAATTACCGCACGCGTTTAAGAACCTAAGCACCCTTTGAAGCCTCTAAAATTTGTAGTCTGGTGACGGTGGGTAAATAAAGGAGGACAGAATGGATGATTTCATCTCCATTAGTCTGCTCTCTCTGGCTATGTTGGTGGGATGTTACGTGGCTGGAATCGTTCCCTTGGCTGTTAATTTCTCTGAGGTAAGAAATTCTCAATTTTCTATCAGCTGTCAGGATGGCTGCTGGGAAGTACTGACAGTTGCAAAGGGGAGCGGTTTCCTCAATGAAGCTCAGAGCTAAAGGTCTTAGGAAGGACTATCTTTTTAAAAGGTGCATAACATTTTGTAATAGAAACGAACCTCAATTTAAGCACTAGTGCATTTTCCTGGGAAGCGGTACTATAACCTTTGGATTCCCAGGGGTTCCAAGGAATCAAGTTTCCAGATTGCTATCAAGAAATATAAATAGAGTATTATTGGTCTATATGCATTGAAATCAATATACTTTCCCTTTTTGAGAAAATGAAGGGTAGTTTTGGGGGGAAAGTTAATTTTGGGGGATTAGAATCCAAAGAAGTTGCCTGGGGTTTTTTTGAATCAGTTTTTTGTTAATAGAAAAATGAATTCATTCTAATGAATGAAGAGAAGAAAACTAGATTGTTCTTAAGTCACATTTCCTTTTAAAGAGAGCATCGGAGTAGATCTTCGAAGTTGTTTCAGATCTTTGCTTAGAAATGAAATTGTTGTTAATGTGTTGTGACATTTGGGTTAATTTGTACATTTGTCATTGTTTGAACAACCAGCAGGGAAGAAAGATGAAAGCATTGTTCAATGATAGTGCAGAAAAGTTCCTCATAAAGAGCTTACCACATGCACAGCATTCAGACATTTGGGGGGGAAAACCCATTATGTTTGGAGGGAACAGGATTTCATGAGTATCTTGAGATTCAGCAGTGAAATGGGCCGAGTTTCACCATCAGTCCTTAAAGAGCTTCATGAGAGAGCAAACTGATAGTCATAGCAAACCTCACCTAGCCCGCAGACTTACTTTGTTAGGTTAGCACAGTATTTAACTTTATTATTCCTATTGGGTTTTGTTTGTGTTCCCTCAAGGCAGTAGTTGGCTAGAGCTGAGCAGTAGGAGATTGTCATGGTCTTCTTGGCTGTGAAGCCCACTTCACTCATTTGGACCACCTGCTGTCCAGTACTTTGTAAGGCTGCTTGATTCTGACTTGAACCATATTATCTTGTAACTGCATTAGAATTGAACTGACCTTATCAGGGCCACCATTTGTGAGATTTAAGTTGGCTTAGATATTGAAAAATTTACTGAGGTAGCATTTATCAAAAACTATAATGTATTCAAATAAGAAATTAGTAATACTTTATTTCTATGAAATGCTGAGAACTTTGCCGGTTTCAGTATTTTCTTGAACTGTCTTGAGTGATTTTTGCCCTGTGTGATCTGCTATCTTCTTTTTCACTGAAAGGAAATGTGTACACGAGTGGGGTAATTAACCAAGCCATTAATAAAGATAATCAGTATGACGTCATTTATGGCTATCTGAATTGATGGTCAAGTGGTCTTTTCCAGCTGTAGGCCTTAGAATGCTATAAATCACCTTCATGATATTCTTTTATTATTACACCAGGTATGGTCCATTTGGAGCTATTAGAATAAAAATGAAAGTTATGTATAACTTAGACATGTTAGAATTCAACTGACGCTTTCTATCTTCTAGAAATTAAGTATTTTTCTAGACAGATTATATCGATATATATTGATGTATCCTGAAACTATTGAGATGATAATTTGTAAAAAATAAACTTCATTCATGGGGGCTGGGAAGCAGTTTCTATCTTAAGAAAACAGCTCCCCAAGCTTCTATACTGGCTAAACAATTTTACTTTAAAAATTTTTTTAAGTTTATTTATTTATGTATTTATTTATTTGTTTATTTATTTATTTTGAGAGAGACAGACAGCATGAGCACGGGAGGGGCAGAGAGAGAGGTAGAGAAAATCCCAAGCAGGTTCCATACTGCCAGTGCAGTCGGCTGTGGGGGCTCAAACCCACGAACTACAAGATCATGACCTGAGCCGAAATCAAGAGTCAGATACCTAACAAACTAAGCCACCCAGGAGCCCCTTAACGACTTTAATTTTTAAGGAAATCTGGTTTTTCTTAGAGACTCGTATTATTATGAATAAAAAAGATCAATAAATCTAATTTATTTTACAGTTCACTTTCATCTATCTATATGAAAAGATACGCTTTTTATTTGTGTTCTTAATCTAGCTCCTCCTTTGTTATTCAATACTTTGTTTTCTTTCAAAAAAATTTTTAATGTTTATTTTTGAGAGAGAGAGAGAGAGACAGAGTGTGAGCGGGGGAGGGGCAGAGAGAGAGGGAGACACAGAATCTGAAGCAGGTGCCTGGCTCTGAGCTGGCAGTCAGCACAGAGCCCAATGCGGGGCTTGAGCCCGCGAACCGGAGATCATGACCTGAGCTGAAGTCGGACGCTTAACCAACTGAGCCACCCAAGCACCCCTCAATACTTTCTTTCCCTTCAGAATTTCTCAGACAGGAATAAAAGTTCAAAAAACTCTTAATTATGGCAAGATTAGTATTTAGAAATGGGTTAAAATTAAGTACCTGGAAATTGCTGCAGCAGTGGTGCCTGCCTGCCATATCTGACCATCCAGGTTTCTGTGACAATGATCTGATCTCTCTGTCACTTTCTTCAGCATTCCTTGCCCCCAAACCAACTTTCTTGATGCTTTTGTAACTTCTTTCTTGCTTCCTTTATGCCTCAGTGATTTCTAAAACAAAGGAAAAGAAAATCTCTCATTCTTTTTTTTCCCCATGTTTATTTGTTTTTGAGAGAGAGAAAGAAAGACGGAGTATGAGCAGGGGAGGAGCAGAGAGAGAGGGAGACACAGAATCCGAAGCAGGCTCCAGGCTCTGAGCTGTCAGCACAGAGCCCAATGTGGGGCTTGAACCCACAAATCATGAGCTCGTGACCTGAGCTGAAGTCAGACGCTCAACCGACTGAGCCACCCAGGCATCCCAGAATCTCTGATTCTTGGAAGTACTTATGAGTAACTGATCATTAAGATGCCCTGTTCTTCAGCATATGGGAAGGAGAAAATCGAGGTTTGTAAAGAAGGCCAGAGCATGCCCTACACAAATGAAATCCCGTCTGGTAAAGGAGTTGGAACCACTAGGTTACTACTCTCTTACGATGTTAGATTCAGTTGGTAACGAGCAGTTTTCTTTGGCTCTAAAGGAAAATGCTATGTAAGTAGGTAGAGAGCCTACAATTTATTGTTACCTGGAATTAACCCAGCTTAGCAAGTACTCTGACTGATGGCTGAAGTTCAGGTATAAACCATGACCAAAGTGAGGTTTTAGATGGATTATCGGAGGATTGTTACTTTCCTGAGCATGTCTCCTCTGCCCCAGAGCTGGTAACAGAGAGCAAGCTGTTTATACCAGAGCTCTAGGGCAGGGCTTCCCCAACCATCTGGTAAATGACTAGTTTTTGTCATTTTGTTTTGTTTAATTTCCATTCCATTGCAGATCAATATATTTATAAAAATTAATTACTAAAAAAATGAAATGAAAAAAAGACATATGAAATACAAGCCCAAATGCAGTGTTATCATACTTAATAGGCATACAATTATTCATATAATTGTAATATTCATTTTATATACAGTGTTTTGAAGGCTTTGTCTCAGTTTCACACTTTTCTTGTTGCAGACAGGTGTGAATTATAATGCCACATTTTTCCTGTGTCAAAATCATGTAAATCCATAGGTGTGCAGATGAAAGTAGTGCTGCTCTCACTTCCAGAAGGAATTCAAGATGACTAGTAATGCACACATTTCCCAGAGGCTGTGTGGGACATGTAGTGAAGTTCAAAATGAGTGTCACTATTTGAATAAGCTATTTAACATCCAAATCTTTCCTTTTAAATGACCTTATAGGATTGTTGTGAGGATGTAATGAATTAATATAAGTGCAAGGCTGTATTCTAGACCATAATAAGAACTTTAGAAGATGTTGAGGATTATTCTCCTTACTGACTATAAAACCTTCTTTAAGGTTTTCATTTTTAGAACTTTATCCTAAATTATAATTTTTTCTAAAGTTTATCTACTTATTTTGAGAGCGAAAGAGAGAGGGGCAAAGAGAGGGAGAGAGAGAATCCCAAGAAGGCTCCACACTGTCAGTGTAGAGCCCAGCACAGGGTTCGAACTCGTGAATCGTGAGATCATGACCTGAGCTGAAACCAAGAGTCAGATGCTTAACCAACTGAGCCCCCCAGGTACCCCCTAAATAATAATTTTTAAGACTTCATTTGAAACAGATTCTTTTTTTTTTTTTTTTACTTTTGTTTATTTTTGAGAGACAGAGACAGAGCACAAGTGGGGGAGGAGCAGAGAGAGAAGGAGACATAGAATCCGAAGCAGGCTCCAGGCTCCAAGCCATCAGCACAGAGCCCGACGCAGGGCTCAAACTCATAAACTGTGAGATCATGGCCTGAGCCAAAGTTGGATGCTCAACTGATTGAGCCACCCAGGCGTCCCAAAACAGACTTCTAATAATGGGAATTCCTCCATCCCTTTCTCCAGTTATGGAAAGTCAGCATTTTTGTTTGGAATCTGAAAGGTCTTGTTTGGGGATTGGCATTCCTATTCACCATAAATGTTCCATTTGGAGAGACCAAGCCTTCTCTAATCTCCGTGCCTTATAGTATTTTTCTTAGTATTTACCTTTCTTTTCTTCATTCTCATTTTAGGCTTTGTTTTATTTTTCATGTGTTAAAAAGTTTTGTGTCTAATTATCATAACTCATTCATGTTAAGTGTCTTTGGGACTTTGAGTTACCAACAAATCAGACGTTTGTGCCTAAAGGACAAATGTGTTCAGTGTGCTCTTCTCTGACAATTGGTTCTTTTTGAAATAGATGTGATAAAGTTGCATTTTTAAGGGCTTTTGCATTGTCTGATATAGTAATGTTTTATTCTCTTAAGGTAATGCAATAAATAGATGTTATGCCTGTGTGGAATTTCATTTCTAAATTCAAACATTTTACACTTTGCTTTTCTCTCTACCCATTATCTTGGAAGCAATCAGTAACTTTGTCTTTCCTCAGATTATTGTCGTAGAAGGTTATTGTTTCCTAAGTGCCTT